ATCACCCATAGAAACCACACACACTTAGGTGGATTAGATACTAGTTATTTCAAAATATTACTTTGGAATTCTTTTGAAATTATAGAATTCTATAACTATCACTTGATCATATTTTGTGGGAATAAAGCTCATACATTACTAGAACACACATTTTTGAAAATATTGTATATATAATATGCAGTAAATATATAAAAATATAAATAAAAATAAATATAATTACTTTCCTTTGAATCCTTCCTATTTAGTTTTATGCATTTGTAAACACTATTCTGAGAAAGGTCCATAGACTTCACAGGATTGCCAGAAAGGTCTGTGACACCAAAAAGGTTAAGAATTCCTGATTTATACAAGGAGGTCATTAACATTCTTCATTAACAAGAAGAGAGTCCTTAATAGTGACATACAGGATGCTGACTTCAACAATTACAAACTTCACAAAAGGAATATAAGCTGTGCTTCAGAATTTCATTGTTGCAAGGAGTCAAAAAAAATCCACTGTCCAATCTAGTTTCTCACAGAAGACCACAGCTTCTACCAACTCTCTCTCTCTCTCTCTCTTGACATTAGAAACCTTTTATTAAGAACAAGTCAGATAATGGGCTGAAACTTCAGACTGAAAGGAGACTGACAAACCAATTTGAAGAGCAGGCAGCTCAGGGCTGGGGGCATTTGCCTAGCACATCTCAGTCTTTAGCACTGTCTGTACCCCAACTCCAGACTCCAGAATACGTTGTCAAGGAAAGAGATTAAGAAGGCAATTCCACTTGACGATACTCCAATGTGAAAACGCAACAAGTTTAGCAACTGGAAACCTGGGGGAGGGGTGGGATCAAGAGCACACCGAGTGCACAGAGGCAGGCTGGCCAACATAGGATTAGAGGACAGCTATAAGTGGACAAGCACTGTAGTGTAAAAACAGCTCAACAGGAAGCAGTATGGTGTCAGCATCTGTGGAGCAGCCTTCTCAGTTTGTTTGGCAGGACTCAGTCTATTATCTGGGACCCAGAGACCAGCCCTAGGCTTGCCATCCAAACAATAATGAGAGGAACAAAGTCAGCCTTATGGATGAGAGTTTAACAGTATTGTTACTGGTGAGTGGTCTCAGAAGTCCCTGGTCCAGAAGATCTCAGACCCTTGGTGTCTGCAATAAAGAATTAAATGAAGACACACAGATTGCACAAAGCAGCAGCAAAGTTTTACTGAGGGTGAAAGCAGGAGCGTATACTTTCCAAGGAAGTGAGGGGGTGGGCTCTGGTGAGGTGGCTTAAGAGCAAGCACACGTAGCTCAAGAGTGCCAGTGCCTTGGTTTGGATGTGTATTTATACACTACAATGGGTGAGCAAGGGGAGATTTGGGTGGTACTCAGGAGTGGGTTTTGGTGACTGCAGATTGACAGCACATGTGAATTCGCTCTGTAATGAGATGCGTCTTATTATATTCTACATTCATTGGGCTATAATTAGAGGCCCTTGTGCACACACCTGTTTGGGTCAAGTTAAAATTCTATTTCAAAGGGGTGTTTTGAGGCAGTTCTGGGTGGAGTTAGATCACCTATTCCCCATGAGATGATCTGCAAGACCACATGTTCCCCCTGACCCGGTTTGGGTACTTTCCCTTATTTTCCTGCCTTTGTATCAGTAAAAATAAAGGGAAATAGGACTGTTGGGCATATAAAAAAAGCATTATGGGGCTAGTATATTGTTGGCCTCAGGATTCATTCCTCCCTCTCCCCCCACATCTACTTTCTACACTGGTGTGTGAGCAAGGCCTCCAAAACACTGCACTTTTTTTTTGGCTGTACTGGGTTTGAACTCAGGGCCTCATGCTTGCTAGGCAGGCACTTTACCACTTGAGCCACTCCACCAGTTCCCCTGTACCTTCTTGCACTGCACCGTCTTGGCAGTGGCTCTCTACTGTGCTCGGGATCAAGGCCAGGTTCAATGATCTTTACTATCTGGTCTGTCTTGACCCATCTATTGCTATGCTTTCTACCCCATATCTCAGTCTACAATTTGCAGTTTGCAAATTCCAAACCCTCTTGTCTCTGGGCCCTTGAGTATACTGTCACAGCCTAGAACACTGCTCCCTGGATTTTGCCTGGCTTTCTCTTTTCCTTCATGTTGAGGCTTGGCTCTCATCTCCCAGAAATGCTCTTGTAGTACTCTGTTTATCTGGTGTTATGGCTTAGATAGGAAGTGTTCCCTCCAAAGGCTCTTGTGTTGAAGGCTTGTCCCCAGCTGGTGGTACTGTTGCAAGGTAGTTGGATCATGAGAGTGGGGCCTAGTGGAGGAAGTAGATCACAGGGTCCTTGGAAGGGCATATCTTATCCCTGCTGTCTTCCTCTCTTGCTCCTGGTCACGAAGTTGCTTCTTCCACATTGTTCTGCCTCCTATCAGGCCAAAGCAATGGAGCCAACCATGAACTGAAGTCTATTAATTATGAGTTAAAATAAATCTTTAAGTTGATTTTCTCAGGTATTGTATCACAGCAACAGTGACTACCACATCTGGTCATAGCACTTATATTAATAGTAGTATCTGCCTCCTTAGGCTCTATTTGGAGTCAGGCACTGCAACCCTTTCACCTAGCATGGGGCCTGGCACTCATACTCTCAACTGGTTGTTTTATGGTTTCTTGTGTATGTTTGTTTGAACTCAGGGCCTCATGTTTGTAGGCAAGTGCTCTACCACTTGAGACACTCCACCGACCCCTTTTGTGTGTGTGTGTGTGTGTGTGTGTGTGTTGGGTATTTTTTGAGACATTTTTTTTTTGTTCAGGCTGGCCTTGAACTGTGACATTCCAGATCTCTGCTTTCTGAGTAACTAGGTAGCTAGGACTACAGGTGTGAGCTACTGGCACTTGGCCAGTGTTTTTGGTTTTTTTTTTTTTTTTTTTAAGACATGGTCTCACTATGTAGCTCAAGCTGGCCTGGAACTCGAAATCCTCCTGTCTCAGCCTCCCAAGTGCTGAGATTATAGGTGTGCACCACATCCAGCTCAACTGGTTGTTGAATGGTTAAACTGTGGATCTATAATAGAACATGTAAGTAAAATTACTGCCTTGGTGTAGTGGTGACAGTAACCAGAACTCTCTAGATAAATGTGGCCCTCAGATACTTAAGAGTCTACAAAAGCTAAAATGGAACCATTAATATATTTAAAAAATCATAAAAGTTGCTCACTTCTCTAAGAAAAAGCCAGATTACTAACAAAGGTAAGTCCTTTGGTAGAGTATCAGCTCAGAGTAACAACATAAGGTTTTACCAGCTGATGAGCAACTCAAATTGCCTGATGAGTTTACAGGAATTTCTGAGACAAGACTGACAGACCAGATAATCTGGTAATTCCTGATCTACCAAAAAACATATGATAAAAGGTACCCATGAAGTTCTGTGAAAAGATTTGGAATCTGGGCCTTGATCATTCTTTATCATTGCCTAAAACAGTGTGTCTCCTTATCTGAGCCACAAAGGCCCACAGGCACGTGAGAGGTTTGAGCCACACATCCAAGGGCCTTGAAACCTTACTTAGGCCAAGACAAGATTCTCAAGAAGATGCTTTTCATGTGGCAGGGTGAAAATGCTTTTTGTAATTGGCAGGGTTTGAACTAAGGGCCTCACACTTACTAGGCGGATGTTCTACCACTTGCGCCTTGCCCCAACTCTGAGAATACCTTTCTTCTAGGAACCAGAAGCTAAGTAAAGTTGCACCCATCCAAGAAGAGGACACTGTTTCTTCAGGACAGCGAGCCTAGAGGCTCTGGTTTACTGCTTTGATTGGGATTCTCAAGACCAGAAACATTTTATACTGTATACATTTTGGGGGATACTTGTACTTTTCAAGTGAAACTTGTTTTGAAAATGTCAGTCTGCTGTAATCATTCTATACTAAAAGGGAGACAAATATCTGAGAGTCTGCTAATAGTTAAGAATGACTGGCTATTTCCACAAGGAAATTCCAGACAATTTTTATAAGCAAGAAGAGAAATAATTTGACTAAACTTGTATTGACATTTTCAAGAAGCATGAAGATATCTATTTCACAGGCACATCTCATTTGGGAAGCAGAGAAATAAACCCAAGGGAAGGTGGAAGAGTATAGGGTGGCTGTATAGTTGGTCCTTATCTAGGTATTTCTTAAGCTCTCTGACTCCTATCAGCTCGCATTTTTGTGCACTTTCCTCTTACTCTGCTTCACAGCTAAACATGTGTCCGATAAGGAATGTAAGTATACACTATGGATGGGAGATTTTCTTTAAGTTAATGCCAACTCATTCCCTGCTTTATAACTGTTTTCTCACAAAAATAAGAAACAATGATTGCTTGGCAATGACTTCTTAGTGATTACTCCTCTCCAACTGGATGTGTGTACAACTTTCTAACCCTCTACCTTCTAAATCTAGACAAATTATTTTAAAAACCAAAACTTGTATTTTGTATCCAAAATATTATCTGCTTAGCTGTTAACTATGTTTTCTTTGTAATCAGGAAACCTGCTGATTAGGCCATAGGCTGAATGTGTACTCACCAGTAAAATCGTACTACTGCAATTGCCTGCCACACCATGACTCAGGAAAGTATTGGTTTGCCAAAATATTTAACATTTCATGGTATGACACTGTATCAGTTTAAGATTTTGGTGTACTGTTATCTATTTTCACTCTTAGTTTAAAATCTGTATTCATGCTGAAATGGTTATATTAGTTTTTGCCAAGTGATATCTAAATTTTGTTTCACAACAATATAATTCTTGCTGTTAAAATGCAGTTTTTCTTGAAAATATCTTTACATTACAATAGATGCTATGTGACAAAGGACAAACAATTCTTTGGAAAGACTCCTTCAACTAAAACAGCCTATGCAAAGTAACGTCAAGTGCACCACTGAGAGGTCAGTTTTGCTTCACTTCTGTTAGTGAGCAGTAGACACAGAACACTTCGTAATTCTTTTCTGGGTTGGGAAGGGGTGGGAAAGAACACTAAGAAAATCAAGATACTCAAGCTTCAGTACATAATTATTCAAATAAAATTTTTAATGATTTCAGCTCAATACAACTGAAAATGTAGTGTCATTAAATGGCATTTTCTGCTAATTTTCAAATTACAGGTTTGTGGGCCCTTTCTGACCAGAAGCATCACATCCTACTAAATATTCAGCTATATTAACTAAGAGAATTAACAGTATCATGGCAGCAGGGGAGGAAGAACAATGATCAGCTAAAAAAAGGAAAAAAACCAAAACCAATGAAACTTAGGAAGTAGCTATAGATATTAGTAAAATAAAAATATAACCCAAAATGCCCATGTCTTAAATTACTAGAAAAAAAAATACAGGTAAAGTTACAGCAAATACAGTCTTCACAGATTTGGGCAACTTTATTTGCAAGTCATAATGATTTCTTAAGGCCTATCCAATGAAACCATTTTTAACAGCTCTACGAGAATGGAATGGAAATTTACATGTCGATGACACTTTTTTTTAACAAAAGCTTAAATTTCAGAATGAGCAAGGTTTACTTTTGTAGGTAGAGGCCCTGCTTCTTCATGATCTTCAGTTTTAGATCTAACAACCACCAGAGAAGAAGCTGGATATCTGCTTAGCTTTTGTTCATTGACAAATTCCAAGTCACCATAGATACTCAGTTTCTGCCAAAAAAAAAAAAAAAAAAAAAAACAGTTAATGCACATCATTAATTTGTATAATTAGGAACCTCTCCAAGTAAGTTTCCAAATAACAATTTAATTTATGGATATTTGGTAAAAGAAATTCTATAAACATCTTTGAGAATGAAGAATGTTTTTATAGGATAATATGATTCGGGTCCTAACGCTTTTCCAAATGTCCAAATTTAAAATCTGTAGAGGTATAACAAATGAGTACCAAATATGATCATACCAAGGGTTCTGATTCTGCATGTTTGATGGATGCCTTAAGTGATGAAATCCTTGAAGATCTTACCTCTTCTACTGAGCAGCAAAAGGATTTGGTGCAAATTTTTCAGTTAAACCACTAAGTGGTTTAACTTAACACATTTGGAAAATGGTATGTACTTACTGAAGGTCTGTGAGAACAAAAAATATAAATGAAACACCAACACTGATAGAAAGGTCTTCATAAACATATAAAAATTCCTCATCAATGATACTAAGAAGGTACTAAAAGAAAAGAATGAAAGCATAAAACAGAATCACTGCAAATCTTATAAAACTCACTGGAGTGAAATGACAATATCTTAATAGCTTTTGAGAGTACATTTACTTAGATGTATGTCCAGTTCTTAAAGACAGAAGAACAAAAGCCTTCACCAAAAAATAGGAGAGATTTTTTTGTTGATCAACTCATAACTGCAACAAATCTCTGAATCCATGTTAGAAATTAAAGTGCTGGCACTGGCAGAGCAAATGACTAGATTACACAGCAAGAACCACACAGAAGTACATGGTGTTAGAAACATGTTTTTAAAAGATGCAAAATAAACAGCACCTAATCAATACTGATATATGTTATCACATGGCTGAACCTCAAAACAAAAACAGCATTTTAAGTCAAGAGGTCATTCCCAAGATACCAGTTCTCAGCTAGGAAGTGATGATGCTGCTGCTTGGAAGGACTACTAATGACTAGTCTTCTCTTCTCTTCATTCCTTCCTCCCTTCCTCTCTCTTTTTTTTTTTTTGGCGCTTCTAGAGTTTGAACTCAGGGCCTTGCTCTGCCACTTGAGTCATGCCTTCAATTCTTTTCCCTTTTAGATTATTTTTTAGGTAGGGTCTTATTTTTGCCCTGGCAGGCCTGGGACTATGACCCTTCTACCCATGCTTCTCAAGAGCTGGGACCACAGGCATATGCCTCCATACCTAGCTTGCTGGTTGAGATGGAGGGTCTCCCTAACTTTCTTTGTCTGGGCTGGCCTTGAACCATGCTCCTCCCAATGTCTGCCTCCTGAACAGTGGGGTTAACCACTGTGCCTAGCCCTATAAGGTTTTAAAAATGACATCATAAGCTGGGTATGGAGGTGCATGCTTATAATCCCAGCAACTGAGAGGCTGAAGCAGGAGGATCTTGAGTTTGAGGCCAACCTAGGCTACATAGCAAGACTCTGTCAAATAAATAAATAAATAAGACATCATAATTATGAGAAAAGGATCGTAAGAATGAAAAAATAATATCTAAATCTTGTATCACTCAGATGCCACTGATTTAACAAAGGAACGTGAGCCACCAGAGCCTGGCGAAAAGGAAGCTTTTTGTATTTCACCCTTGGTGTAGGCACTAAGGGTACTAAATCTGTAAGGAACAGAGCTATTCTCTCAGCTGTGTTAAATGCCTTTAAGCAATAGGATCATATGTGCAGAGAATCCAACAAAGTCAGTCAGGAGCTGGTAGTTCATGCCTGTAATCCTGCCTACTTGGGAGGCAGAAATCAGGAGGATCATGTTTTGAAATTAGCCCAGGCAAACAGTTTGTGAGACCCTATTTTGAGAATACTCTACACAAAACAGAGCTGGCACAGTGGTTCAAACTGTACAGCACCTGTCTAGCAAGCATGAGGCCCTGAGTTCAAACCCCTGTACTGCTCCCTGCCAGAAAAAAAAAGAATACAACAAAATATAAATAATATATATCTCAAGGATGAGATAGACTCATAGAACTTAAAATAGAGTCTTATGTTACTAGGGGAGAGGGCAGAAATAACTATGTTCCAATACTAAGCCCATAAAAAAGTTTTATGAAGCTGGAGATGTTATTTCAATGGGTTCCATCCCTAGTACCAAAAATACAAAAGAAAGAAAGAAAAAGAAGCTGATGGGAAGAAAAAAGTGACTGTTGGTCAAGAAAATCTAATTTTTCTAACACTAAGTTCTAAATTATTTCTATGGTGAACGAAGGAGAAACTATGAAAAGAGTATAGTACTTACACTATATTCTAGAACAATAAAAATAGTGTCTATTAAAAAATAGCACATACTGACAGTTAAATGGCAGCATATTCTAGACAGGATGATTGATTTTCCTGCTTTATGTGTACTTGATAAATTTTTACACTAAGTGTATAATACTTTTATAATAAAAATATACTTAAAATGAAATTATTACCTAGCCAAGGTATGGTTTCCATGTACAGAAAAGTTTAAAAGTAATGCATCCAAATGGCTTTCTTATACACATTTTTTAACAGAATGTATCTCCTTAAAAAGTATAGGCTTTCTCAAAATGCAGCCATAATTTTAGCTGTCAAGGATGGGAAGAAAGAGTTGTAGGGAAGGACAAGAAAGTAATGACCTTCTGGCCCCTCTATCTAGAGGGGCTGCAAGAGAAACCAACAGTGTGGCTCTCATGCCTTATGGTCACAGGGGCCTTGGTGGGAGCATATTTGGGAACCGAAGGTTGTTTTCCCTAAGAATGCAAAGACATCATCTAAAAGAGAAAGAGTCGTCTGGAAGGGAGGGAAAGACCCTGTGTCTACAAGATACAACCACAACCACACTGGTCCATATGTGAAAACATCTCCAGAACAGGTCACCTTCTAGATCAAGCAAGGAGATAAGAGAGGGCAAGTCATGACTGCCTAGCCAAGAGCTGTTGAGGTAAGAGAGTATGCGCATCATGGCTCAAAACCTGAACCAGTGGTGTCAAAGAGGGCGCACGGCACAGCAGCTCCTGATATGAATCACATAATGATCTCCCCTACTTAGATTCCAGGTTGACCAACGAGACTTAAGACCAATAGCTTTGGAGTCAGACTATCCGAGTTCACAGCCTGGTTCTACCACTTACTGATATGTGACAGTGGGGCAATTACAAACATCATCTCACAGGGTTACTGAGCATTAAATGAGCGAATTCACAGGAAACACTCATAACAATGCCCACTAGAAAGTGTTCAACAAAGTTGAACCAGAATCCAGGCTGTGGGGAATTCATCAAGGTAAATTCCAACCAAAGCCATTAACCAATGACTATGTGCATTTCATTTTACAGAAGGCCTCCTAGGAGTAATCGGAAGAAACAGGAATATAAGATAGAAGGGAACAAGGTATCACAGGGTATGAGGTCAACAAAGTTCTATTACCAGAGGTTTGTAGCCTTGCTGTCATGAAGATTTGGAGTGTATGAAATGGCTCAAAGGAAAGTAATAGGCAAAGGCAATTCTATGCTAGATGCATAATTTCAGCTTTACCAGGGACAATACATTGATTAAAATACAGGAGTCAGGGGTGTAGCTCAGTGGTAGAGCACTTGCCTAGCATGAGCAAAGCCCTAGGTTCAATCCTCCACATGGCAAATAAACAATAAATAAATGATAAATTATTAAAACGTATCAGAGAACACAAGTACATAATATGGTAAGAGGATGTTATTAGCACATTCATATCATAAAGAGATGAGTTCTGTAGAAATTTACCAGTTCTCCTTAACTTCTCTAATTCCTAGCAATTGGCTTATTCTTACCTGTTCCTGGGAAAATTGTCTACCCTCCATTTTGCTACTCCACACCTTACTACTTATTCTTCAAAGTTCAGGTCAAGTCCTTCCTTCTCTAAAAGCCTTACCTGACAATTACAGTTGACAATTTTTAATGATTTATTCATCATTTGTCTCATGTAAACATTTTATCAGCCACAGATAAGATGACATACAGAAAAAAACACAGGAATTGTCAATCTAAAGAAATAGACTTCATTCTAGCCTGAACACTTTCATAGTTATGCACTCCTAGGAAAGTTACCTACATTGTGAAGTCTGTGTATTCATCTATAAAATGAAATAATACAACCTACTGTATAATATTGTTGGATGTTGGACATATATGAGACAAGAAGATACTTTGCAATTTTAAAGAAGTACATAAATATTAGTTATCAACATTATCTTGTTCCAGTTTCCAGGTATCTGTATTCATTACGTCATGCCAATGACTTATTTCTAGATTCTGTTTTAATTTCCCTCATTTCTTCTTTTCTCTTTTTTAATGGTACTCATAAGCACAAGATAAACCTAGTCTATTTAACTTGGATTTGATATCAACAGACATTGTATAAATAACTTTCTTTTCTTGAAAGCTAAGTTGAATCATCAAATACATTTTCAAAAAACAAAATTCTTTAACAGTTATGTTTCTTTAGGACAGTTAAATTTTAATTACCAAAGAAATCACAATAGTGATTTAGTTACCAGATTTAGTAACTCTTGGATTTAGTTACCAGAACACAGTAAGAATCAAATACTCCAGTCTTATAATTTCTAAAGCAACAATTATTCCTTAATATTAATGGCAATTAACTCAAAAATTTAAGTAGTTCTACATATAGTCTCTCCTATATACCACATTATCTTAGAAAATGGTGCCCATTGATCTTTTCAGTCTCAGAGAACCAGGGAGAGACACTCTGCTGAAAGCAGTCAACCTCTGTCATCAGATAAAACTGGGAACAATGATTCCAGTGCTTGCAAACTTGGAATTTTAATGTATACCAACTTGAACCAGATTAAAACCTCTGATTTTCTCTCATTCTATAGTAGAGAGGCTTTATTTTTCTAGTTAACCAAATGAGGCACTTAAAATGATTTTTCATACAGCTCATTCTTCAAATGGCCCAAGGGTAATAATGAAATTTACCTCAGGAGGAACATACTGCTCCACAGCTGTAGCAACAGCTGCACAACAAATCCAGAGTAAAACCATCACCGAGAGGACTAGAGTTGTGGTTAAAATCCACCCAGAGTTACTGGAAAAAAAAAATCAATATTCAGTCGTATTAAAATTCCATAATATAAAAAAGGGAAGTCTTAATCATTAAAGGCAACTTTATATACTTATCTGAATAATATAGTCAAAACTTTGTGCAGTATTTTAAAAGTTATTTAAATAGCATGCTTATGGAGGGAAATACAGTTAACAGCTAGAATATTAGGGTGATATGTGTCCTTTTCTCCATTTATAAAGTTTCTGTAGCCTGGCTATATAACTTTTTCAGTAACAATCATAATGATAAAACCAGTCATACCGACTTTCTACTAAATATGTAAAATGAAACCAAATTACTGTCAAAAGTACTTTCTAATTACTAAATAAAATAAAGCAAATAAGTATCCTATAAATTGAACAGTCATATAAATGTCACATATTACTTTGTAAGGTATTATAATGATACTCACTTTAAGGAAATAATATCCCAAAAAATTAAGGGATAGAATCAGTAAATTATGAAGTGATCATTTGTTTTATAGATGGATTCACAACAGGGTTCGAGAAGTCAGCTTTCTTATAACATTTCAAATATTTAATTTGCTATAATTTACCTACACTTCAGTTTAAAAGAGCACGTATATTATGAGGCATCTTGGGACCATTAAAGTATATTTTAATGAACAGACAGTTATATTTTTCTTATGATTGAGAAAATCTTAAAGCAGAAGTTCAGTTAAGAGAATCAGTGACTGGAGGTTTTTTTGTAATTAACCTATTAATATTCAAAGAACAGGAAAAAGACAAGCTTTTATACATAAATATATATATATATATATATATGTAAAATTAGGGACTTACACTCTTAAAGTATAAGAGTGTAAGTCCCTAATACTGCCTAAAAAGATCTATGTTTACTACCATAAGCCATTCACTTATTCACTTGACTTTTTTTTGGTTTTTATTATTTATTTATTTATTTATTTTTTGGTGGTACTGGGGTTTGAACTCAGGGCCTCCAAGTGCTCTCCCACTTTTGAGCCATACCCCTAGCCCTTGACGGTTTAACATTTGAACAAGCTAAAGAAATGGTTTGTGCAGTCATTATTTCCCAGAAAAAGAAGTGGACTTTGGAGAACGCATTGCATCTCTCTATATGGCCCAACCGTCATGTAGGAACTAAGGAATTTATTTCCATGAATGAGGACATATCTGACATCTGGGTTGCAGTAGCAACTAGTTAGGACAGAAAACTAGTGTTCATCTTAGCATCCCTTTTATTCCTCAATCTCTACCACTTGAGTAACTCTGACAGCCCAAATTTTACCTTCTTTATACAGAATAAGGAATACATACAGAGAGAGGCATCTTAAAAAGCCATCGCCTTCTCCATCTTCCAGGTAGTTCCTATGTGCTTGTGAACTTCTCATTTGTAGATCTGCTGAAATAACAAGGTTCAAGATTATATCTTATCTTCTAAATGCTAGTGTCATATGACTACTAGATATATACTCTACAGGCACGTAACTGTTTTTAGAAGTGTAATATGACACATTTTATAATGTGTGCAAGCTCCTCTGGCATATCAAAACCAAATAATATCAAAACCCATTAATATGGGTTTTCTGTTTTATTTTCAAATTCTGATTGACATAGATGGTGTTTAATAACATGTGGGCTTGAATAACAGAATTTGCTTTATTCTAATCTAATTAAAATGACCTAATGTATCCTATGTGCTATCATCCACCCATTCCCACCTGCCAATATAAGCAGAGGTTAGTTAAATCAGAATATAAAATAAGGTAGCTAGTAAAATTTAAAAGATAAGGTCTTCTTTAGCTTAACATTTTATGGTCCTATGAGTTAAAATTCACTTCTAGAGTAGAAATAAAATAGAATGGAGGACTCATTAATTCATAGTAGTTTCACTGTTTAATTACTGGGAAATGCTATTTAATTAGTTCATACTCAAAATATCCTTTGAAACAAGCTAAATGTTTTTAGAATAGTGGTTCTCAAGTGTGGTCTCCACATCGGCAGCATCAGCAAAATGTAGAATTGTTAGAAACGTAAATCCTCAGATCCTCTCCAGACTTAGTAAATGAGAAATATGGAGGTGGCTAACCAACTCTACTACAACCAGATCTGACTACTAATGTTTTTTTTTCCCAACCTTTTAATTTTTTTCTGGTGGAACTGGGGTTTGAACCTAGGGCTTTGTACTTGCAATGCAGGCACGCTGCTACTAATGCTTTTATACAAGCTATTGAAAATAAAACTTACAGGACATTTTGCTTAGAGATGATTCTCTCATATTTGTAGGCTCCTGCTCCAACTGTGGTGCATACTGAATTTCTGGCTTAGACTAAAATAGTAATGAAAGCAATTAAGTCATTTGTACTTCTTAAGCTTTTTTTGGTAACAAGTTCTATAACACATCATCTCTATAAACATTTAAATTGAGAAAAAGTAACAGAAGTATGGTGTAAAACATAAAACACATTAACCACAATACATTTTAATTGCACTTCCTGAACATTAGATCCAGTGCCTTGCAAAGATTTCTAGCATCATCAACTATTTAGTCAGTTTAGCTTCCTGTCAACATTCAAAAAAAAAAAAAGAGAGGGACAAATTAAAACAAAATATTGCAGTGAACATTATACCTTGCAAAAATGAGTCCTAATTCTAGTTCATTGGGAATAATTCAACAGACTGCTAAAACTTTTGCCTAAACATACATTATCTCTATTTTTTTCTCATCTAAAACATCTCATTCTTCTCTAAATATGAACAATTCATAATGTACAGTTGAACACTCCATACTTTATATCTTTTACATAGCTCTGATGCTCTGGAAAATAGAAGCTCCTTCATTCCAGTTACACTCAACTTGATACAGATTTTCTAAAACAAACAGCTAATCTCACATCCTAGGAGGAATGAGTGAGGGTTCCACTCTGAGTATCAGCTTGACACATAACTTGCTCATAACTTTAATGAGAAAAGTCCTGTGTTTTACTTATCACCAAATTAAGTATAAGGGACCCAAGCTCAGGATAGTGCTAGGAATCAAATATTAGGCATATAAATAAACCATTCAATTAGCAATAATAACTAAATAGTGTACCATATTACCTGAAAGGAAGATAGTGTCATAATAAAACATGTCGACTGGTAAATCTGAAGAGTTTAACTACTGAATTAAAAGAAATTCAGCATCGTAGGGTGGTATATGGGCCTTGGAACTAAAGTACCCTGAGTTTGAGCCTAATTCTGTTACTTATTGTAGCATGACCTTCAACAAGTTAAGACTCTCAGCTTCCTCATCAATAAACAGGGGTAATATAACCTCCTAAAGCTACTTAAAGATTTCAGATAACATGCTCAATTTTTTATACCCATGGGTTTCATGTCTTTGGGTTCCATATCCATGGAGTCAATCAATTATGCATTGAAAATATTTGTGAAAACTAATCTGTCTGTACAGACTTTTTTCTTGTCACTAAACAGTACAGTGTAACAACTACTTGCATAGCTTTGCATCATGTTTGGTATCATAAGCAATCTAGAGATGATTTAAAGTACAACCATGTACTGCTTAATGATATTTCAGTCAACAACAGACTATATTCGACATGGTCCCATAAGATTATATTGCCTTGTAATGTTGTAGCCATCTTACTCTATGATGTTCAGATAACAATGAACTTGACTACTGATGCATTTTTCAGATCACATCCCCATTGTTAAGTTATGCATGACTGAATATGAGAGAGTGTCCATAGGTTATATGCAAATACAATGTCATTTTATGTAAGGGACTTGGGCATCCTCAAATTTTGATAACCATAGATGGTCCTAGAACCAATCCTCCATAGACACTCAGGGGAAACTGTACATGTAAAATACCTAGTATAATAGAACCTTCTAGGAAGAGCAACTATTATCATCGTATCACCTAGTAAATGATGGCACAAGAGAAAAGTTATGTTTCTAGGAAGCAAAATACTTCAACAAGTTCTCTTTTAAGAGTTATAAGGAAAAGCATCATAAACAACTAAATATTATGTCATAACAATTTTTTTCTAGGCCATACATTATATGTCACTATTTATGCTCAAAGTATATTAATTATTCTTATCTCCCATATCTAATTTTTCATTTTATCAGTTTAGCTACTATAAAATTTAGGAGACTCAGATAAAAATCAGAACTTGGGCTTCAAAAGAATGGGACACAGGTTACTCCAGAGGCACTGCACACCCATGTTTATTGCAGCACTATTCACAATAGCCAAGTTATGGAAATAGCCAAGATGCCCCACCACTGACAAATGGATCAAGAAAATGTGGTATCTATACACAATGGAATTTTATGCAGCCATGAAGAAAAACGAAATGTTATCATTTGCAGGTAAATGGATGGAATTGGAGAACATCATTCTGAGTGAGGGTGGCCTGGCCCAAAAGACCAAAAATCGTATGTTCTCCCTCATATGCAGACATTAGATCAAGGGCAAACACAACAAGGGGGTTGGACTTTGATCACATGATAAAGTGAGAACACACAAGGAAGGTATGAGGATAGGTAAGACACCCACAAAACTAGATAGCATTTGTTGCCCTCAACACAGAGAAACTAAAGCAGATACTTTAAAGCAACGGAGGCCAACAGAAGAGGACCAGGAACTAGAGAAAAGGTTAGTTCAAGAAGAATTAACTTACAAGGTAACACACATGAACACCAAAGCAATGCAAGTCAACTCCCTGTATAGATATCCTTATCTCAACTAGCAAAAACCCTTGGTCCTTCCTATTACTGCTTATACTCTCTCTTCAACAAAACTAGAGATAGGGGCAAAATAGTTTCTGCCTGGTAGCGAGGGGTTACGGTGGAGGAGGGGATGGCGGGGGGAGTGTAAGGGAGGGGGCGGGGGGACGGGCAGAGAAATGACCCAAACATTGTATGCACATATGAATAAAAAAAAAAAATCAGTGGACTTTAGATAAGGCTTCTAAGGAAGGGAGCAAAGGGAATGGTAATTACACTGGGTCCTGATGCCCAATGTTTTCACAAAAGTCAAATAATTATTATTTGACAATAAATATTTATATGTGACTGAGTACCGTGATTCTATGCCAAGACATTCATTTAAGACATATGTATTTACTATTGTTGGTATTTAGATCAATCTATGAGGCACAGTTGTCACCTGGAATATAACTATTTTTCCATCATCAGCTTGAAGATAAAAAGTCCATGAAGAGGTAATGAAGCTCTGTGCAGAGTCCATCATGTCACTCCAGAATGACCTCACCAGAGTTAGAGGGAACAGGAGATGCATTTTTGGCATCAGGGACATGAGCTAAACAAACACACAAAATAATGAAAAATGTATTACTTATTATATATGTATATTCAAGAGAATACCATAATCAAGATTACTCAAATCTTATTGTATAGGGTATAAACAGTTAAATGGATCTATCATAATTATTAGCATTAAACTCTGTTATCTATGCAAATTAGCTATGATAAAGTTTAAAATCCCAGACTAATTTGCCACCAAACACATAAGCTATTTGTTGCCTTTGACAGAATAACAGGCTTTTGAGTCAGGCTCAAAAATAAGGAGACTCTTAAGATTAAGATCTGGCAAGTTCATAAGGTATAGAATAGGAAGGGACAAGTCACACCACTCTCCTCTTTAATGCTCTTATATAGAATAAATGAGCTATAATAAACATCATTGAAAATGAAGAAGGAAAAAAAATCAATCAAAAGAAATATGCAAAGCCAGGCACGTGGTGCACATGTACCCAGGACTTGGGAGTTGAGGCAGGAGGATTGGGAGTTCGAGGCCAGTCTGAACTACATAGTAAGTTCCAGGCCAGCCTAGGCAACATAGCAAGACCCTGTTTCAAAAAAAAAATCAATAAAGCAAGCAAACAAACAAAATATATATAAAAATATGTATATACACATGCATACATATACATATGTAGAAAATGTGACACATCTGCTAACAGGGCAGAACAACGGGACTATTTTATAAGATGAAAATATTAGATACTATTTATAAGATTTTAATATTAATTAGTATCATCATCCATCCAATTCAGACTTCTTGACTTACTTAGCAGCATTGGGTCCCTCTAGAGCATAGGTGTGGGACACCACTTGCTAAACTCTAGGGATAGCTTCGGTTTGGCTATATGTCAAAAGAGAAGCATCATGAGGTATCAGAGAGTGAACCAACAATTTTTATAATCAGAAGTTATATATTTGGGATCCAATTTTCCAACTTAATAGCTCTGAAACCTTTCATGAATTACTGAGCAAGCATTTATTGAGATTGTAAGTTTAAAGAGATTGGGACCATGTGTTTGTTTTTGTGACAGGTCTTGCTATGCATAGTTAGCCTCCCAAATGCTAGGATTTATAGGCATGTGCCACCATGTCTGGCCCACATGTGTTTAATCTGAATTATCTATATAGGTCAGAGGTTAACACAGGCTGGCATATTTACATGGGTAGAGGCATCTAATCCAAACTAGAGTGAGGGGTAGTTAAGAAGGTTTTACAAAGAAAGTAATACTTGCCTTGAGTCAAGGATTGACTAGGCACATGGGGAATGGAAAGAAAAGAGACATGAAATAGCATGTCATATTATAAAAATTAAGAACTGTTCAGAGAAAATGAATTTAAATAATTAAAATGTTTAAAGGCTCTTCAATATTTGAAAATGTGTTTAATGTTAATTAAGATGTGGGAAAATACAAATTAAAACAACAGATAGCCAACTGTTAGGGAAGATGACTATTAATGGGTATGAGACTTCTTTTTTGGGGTGATGAAAACATTTTGGAATTAAGTAGTTATACAACTTTGTGAATATACTAAAATTTACTGAATTTTATACTTTAGAAGAGTAAGTTGTTAATAGCATGTGAATTATACCTCAATTTAAAAAAATGTTACAAATTCCACGGGTGGCAATTTTACTCTGAAAAATGCACATATGCACTTACTTCTTAATTTAGCAATTCTATTCCTATAATTTTATTCTATACATATACTCACAAATGTGTACTATATGCAACTTTTTGGGGGGGTACTGAGGGTTGAACTCAGGGCTTCATGCTTGCTAGGCAGGCACTCTACCAAGTGAGCCATGCCCTCCAGCCCTTTTTGGTTATTTCTGAGGTAGGATCTGGTATACCCAGACCACCTGGACCTTGATCCTCTTATTTGTGCTTCTCTACATAGCTGGGACGACGGGTGTATACCACCACACTCAGCTTTTATTGTTGAGATGGTATCTTGCAAACTTTTTTGTTCAGGCTGGCCTCAAACTACAATCCTCCCAATCTTAGCCTCTTAAGTACCTAGGATTAGAGGCATGAGCTGCTTGTATAACATCATTTGTACAAGAAAATGCTTAGAAACACACTTTATGTTCACAAATGAGGGACTACATAAATTATGATAAATCCACATGGAATAATATATAATGAAAAATGAGTAGGAGATCTTTGTATATACTTGTTTACAAAAAATACATCTGCATATCCTGTGCATGCATAAAATACCTTTATATTGGTAATCTTGGGTGTATAATGGAGAAAATCTGAGTGCCTAACAGACTTCAGATGGAGAGTAGAAGGAACAGAGATATACTCTTTGTATGAATGTATATACTCTTTGTATCTTTTAAGTTTTGTACCATATGACTATATTTCCTAGGTAAAAATTAGTGAAATTAAGAACCTTTTGTTCCCTTCAGTATGTTTGGAATAAAGAGCGTGAGTGGTAGGGAAGTTTAAGAGATGACATTGGATAGGTAATCAGAAGCTAGATTGTGACATGCAGTTTGAACTTAAACCTATATGTAATTGAGAACTACTGAATTACATAGGCATGGTAAGATTTCCACCTAGGGAAAAAATATCTAGACCCTCATAAAGGATGAACTAGAAAGGGTTAAAATGGAAAAACAGCTTGGAAGTTAATTGAGCAATGCAGATAAGAAATGATGATAATTTAACTCAATGGCAGCTAAGATGTAGAAAAAGGACTCAAAAATCAATTTCTCTTAGTCTCAGTTTTTTAATATGGTTCAAGGCCAACCCAGGCAAACAGTTCTTGAGGCTCATCTCCATAATAACCAGACCAAAATGGACTAGAGGTGTGGCTCAAGCGAGCATCTGCTTTGCAAGCCTGAAGCCCTGAATGCAAACACCAGCTCCACCAAAAAAAAAACAAACAAAAAACCCCAGTAACACCCCCCCAAAAAAAAAAAACCCCTAAATCCTCCCCCAAAACCCAACCCTGCAACAACAACAGTACATTTTAATTTCCAGGAGCAACAAGTTATTAACCATATAACAGAAATTATTCTGGCTAACGTGAAAAGGCAGGCAATTTTGAAAGACTATTGTTTCTTACTTGTTCCTGTCTCAGTTCAGCAAATGGCAGCTGATCCTGGCAACCAAGATGGCAAGCATATTGCTCATCAGATTGGGAATATGCCTCTGTACATGCTGAAAGAGAAAAATAGTCAAATTTTAAAAAGACAGAGGGAACAAAAAAGAAAAGGGGAAAGGCTAGAAAACAAAGGGAGTCGGCATGTTATAAAGAAATTTCTTATACTTAAAAAGATATTTCATCAATATGAATTTCCAAATTTGGTATTAGTAGGAGATGTATTATTTTAATTAAACTCCATCTTTTCTCCCTCCTACAAGTCAAGTGTTTCAAATATAAATCTATTAATTATGCAGGTTCTGGCTATATGATGACCTTTATATAAGGGGATCCTAACAGCAAAGGTCTATGTAGTGGACAAAGGACTGGACTGGCAGCTTTTAGAGTCATTGACAGTTTTAGCTTAATCATTTGTTGGCTGTATATATAACCTGGGCTGAGGCACTTAACCTCCGATTGTTGATTTCTACAGGTCTAAAATGGAAATACCACTGCCTACTGCATGGGGATGAATGAAATAATGTATTTTAGTCATTTACACATATATCTGAGATTACTCTTAAGAAATTGATCACTTAGCTGGGAAATAAGGCTATCAACATGGAAAATGAAAAATAAGATGAAGCAATCAGTCTAATACCCTAAATTCTAAAAAAACTGAAGTAGAAAATGTTCTATTGTTGGTGAGTCTACTGTGAAACAGGACTAGGGTTGTAGCTCAGTGGTAAAATGCTTGCCTATTATGCACTAAGCACTGGGTTTCATCCCCAGCAATGGAAAAAGAGTTTGAAATGGGTCTCTACCAGATATAATCTCTTTATTTAGTTCATTAAAGCCATTTTCTTTTATATGATATTACACTTCCACACTGTAGCGAATTTATTTTTAGTGGTACTGGGGTTTGAACTTAGGGTTTGCTAGGCAGGTGCTCTACTGCTTGAACTACATCTCCAGCCCTTTTTGCTCTGGTTATTTTGAAGATAAGGACTCGCTTTTTGCCCAGACGGGCCTGGACTATGATCCTCCTGTTTTATGTTTCTCACCACTGCTGGGATACAGGCACCAGCCACCACTTCCAGCTTTTTTCCATTGAGATGAAAGCTTTTTGCCCTGGATGGCCTCAAACTTCAGTTCTCCTGGTCTCAGTCTTCCAAGTAGCTAGGATTAACAGGTGTGAGCCACCGGCGCTGGGCTTCAGTTTTATTTTTCTTCTCAACTCAGTTATGCATCTGTAATACATTACTGAGAGGAGCTTGATAATAAGTTGAACAACACTGTGCACATATAAAGATGGCCAGTTAGGAGACAGCCATAAAAATAAGGCCATGATATCACAAAAGACTGGGTATAAGCTATGGCACGGTGACAGGGGAAATGGTGCCTCCTGCTACACTGAATAAACTGCAATGAATGGAGAAGATTCCATTACAGTTCTCTAAAAAGTTAAATGTTCATTGTATCTTGATTATAGGCTTCTTTTATTAAATACATCTCTTTCAGGAAAAGATGAGAACAGTGGTTTAACAGATGACAAAGTATCTGGTTACTTTACTTGCACAACCAATATTAAAGACTGAGTCAAAGACCTGATTGAGTAAAAACCTTGGAGCTAAGTCAACTAATCTATGATTGAAAGGCTTAGGAAAATTATACTATTTATGAAAAGGTAGCGATGAATTATGAGTAAGGTAATTACTACTGCACTTGTCTAAAAAGAACGTTCAGTTAAACAAAGGTGTCGTATCCATAGCACAAAATAAACACGGTCTCAACAAATGAATTTAAAGCCCATGAAATTTTTAGCAGCATCTATTAAAGCTCTAAATTCAAAATAATTGCAATATATATTTCATGACTAGTTTAAACAGTATGTTTGTCATTTACTGAGGAAAATAAATAAAAAGCATAACACGATTCAAAGAAAACATCAATGTCATACACAGCTGATGTCATTAGCATAGCATCTTACCAGATTCACATTCCAGTTTGGTCCGATTTAAATCAATTCCATCATCCACAAATTGACAAATTGAAAACAGCCTGCAACCTCTCTGGCATGCGTATAACTCCTCTTCCTAGAGTTCAAGACAGAGTATTACCAAAAAAATTTTTTCTCTTAGTTGGAAAAAAGTCACGAAGAAAGTCATGTTAGAATTTATTTTAAACCACTCAGTAAGTTTGATAACCAAAGGGGAAAAACAAAAAATGAGAGGAGCCAGATCCTACACAAGATCTTTGCCATATCAGTTCCTTATTTTAAAAGTGACACCAGGAAAAAAAGCCTACTGGCCTAAAATCACCCTTTCCCTATATTCTGTGGCCACAATTTGTGGGGAGAAAAATTAAAAATAAAAACAGCAGTGACAGTCAGAACCCTAACAGAGTAGAGAGGATAAGCAAGTACCCTAGGACTAATAGTATGTTTTTGCCCTGTATATGCTTATATAAATCATCAGGCTTATTAGGAAAAGTATGACTAGCTTCAGATGGCAAATGATGAGATGAAGGTCCTGATAAGTGAGGTATACATTTGTAAAAATTTTATATGAAAGCACTTTTGAAAACTTGGCTTACTTTAACTGAAAATGGCAAACAACAAAGTGACGTATGGGAAAGGCTACTACAATCAGCCAGACCTAAATCGAAACCTTTCAGGTAACTGCACAAGTTATTTTACCTATGGAAATCTCAGTTTTCTGAACTGAGAGTTCATGAAAGGAAACAATACCTATCATCTCCAAATTCCTCAATAATTCTAGAAGACAGCTACTGTTTGCACAGTGCCTGAGATACAGAAGGTGCTTAATAAATGGTAGTAGTGTTGATCATAACAGATTTAAAAATATATAACAACTATAAGCATCATTGCATATGTGTGTGGCTCAAAATAGGATGGACATGGTTTTTCAATACTAGAAAATACTGTTTATAAGACTAATAACAATGTCTTCAACAGCTTTTTTTGTTTGATAAAACACAGTATTTGAAATAAACTGGTGCATATGGGGGAGCCCCTTCAACTTACTGTGTGATCTTACAAACTGACTAGCATCTAATAAGGAAACAGCATGTGCATATACCAGTTAGCAACCAACGGAATTCCTTTCCAGCAGAATTAGTAAAATTAATGCAGCAGCAACAATCCCTAAGAAGACATGACTGCAAATCTAATATGAAGTAAGCTTTATGATACAGTTTTGAAGGTGGCACATTTTTGGGCCTCAGTTCTAGCTATGGTTCTTCTTGTAAAGGTGAAATTAAAGGAACTTTTGACTATTAAGATCCATTTCATTTCACACCTGAGTAGCACTTGCAGACTTTATAAAACAGTGAAAGAATTCTCTTGTTTTTAGAGTACCACCTATTTCATGAATTCATTAGCATGAGCTATACTACATGCCATTTCTTTTTGTTTGTTTGTTTGTTTTTTTCTAAGACAGGTCTCACTATGTAGTCCAGGCTAGAATGGGACTTGTTATATAGCCCAGACTGGCTTTGAACTCATTGTCCTCTTGCCTCAGTCTCCCAAATGCTGGGATTATAGGCATGCCCCGGTATACTTTCTCTTGTTAAACCAATCCAAAAAAGTATCCAGAACCAATTTCAGAAAACCACATGACATGCTGAAAAAAGCCTAGGTTCAGGAATCAGCCCTGGTTGGAAGCTCAGCCTCGCCTCTTATGCTACACAACCTTGGGCAAATTACTTAATATCTCTGAACCTCAGTTGTAAAATGAGGACAATACATCAATCTTGCATATTAAAATTACACATTCATATCCACAAAAGCACCACTATCATGTTTATCTAATAATAAAACATAACATTAACAATATATAGCCAACAAATGTCCACAATGTACCAGGCACTGTGTTAACACTTAACGTTAATACAGTGTTATTGTGACATCCACAAGGAATAGGCAACTGGTAGCTACTAAGAATCACACACTTATTCCAAGTATTTCATGTTCTACATAACATCATTCTAAGTATAGTAAATACTTCATGCTCTATGTATCCCAAATGACTGACAAGCTTAAATAAAACATTAACTACCCTAATACATGACAGGAAGAAATAGTGCTTCCCACCATACTGAAAATAGCTAAGTAATTAGAAGGTCCCTCAATGATACTATCTGTAGCTTTCTTATGCATTGTCTTATTCTGAACTAAAGTCAAGCTAACTATTCTCTCTTCATTCAGTACTACTAATAGTATATGCATCAAACTGATTTTATAACATGTAACAAAAGAAGTAACTATCTGTGTGTAGGCACTGTGCTAAGAATGTCACATATATTATCTTTAATCCTCACACTAACTCTACAAGATGTGAGTGACAAAATGAAGTTATGAGAAATCAAGTGATCAGCAAGGCCATTCAGATAGTAATGGTGGAGCTGGGAATGGAACCCAGACTTGTATGGTTCCAAAGCCCACACTTGTTTAAAAAATGACAACACAGGCACTAATTAGCTTTGTTTTTTTTTAACATAACTTGTATCTCTTATAGTTGAACCCAGACAAATGATGCAAGTGCATTTCTGAAGACAGAGGATAAAATTCAGTAACTTTAAAATAACTACTTATAGTGGCTAACGGAATGGCTCAAGTGGCAGAGTGCCTGCCTAGCAAGCGTGAGGCCTTGAGTTCAAACCCCAGTACTGCCAAAAAAATAAAAATAATAATAAAAAAAACTATTCACAAATAGGTAGAGTCTCTTGCAACAAATAACTCTGAAAAAGAATCATTAAAATGAGATTTCATGAGACCAAGAGTGGCTATGTGAACTTGTGAATTCATCTCATTTTCCTGAACTGCAAAGCACAATAATTCAGCAGAGGGCCAAAAGGAATAGTGAAATAAGTAAATATTTGTAACGTAACTTCATTAATAGCTGGCAGCACAGTGTAGTCAGTTTGAAGACTGAATGCCTATGAGTTATAGGACCTTGATCAAGTCACTTAACTTTTCCAAGCCTTGAGGGAGGGGACAGGGCAGGGAGGAGAAATGGCTCCAACAAGTATGCACTTATGAGTAAATGAATGAAGAAAAAACAAAACAAAACAAAACCAAAAAACTTCCAAGCCTCAATTTCCTTAACTGTAATAGCATATTTTGCAGGATTGTTGTGAGAATTAGAGATAACAGCATGACGAATTCCCCCATCATACTTGCAATCAGATGATAGAGTGAATAAATTTTGAGCCTGCACAGTGGCACACAGGTGTAATTCCAGCACTCAGGAAGTTGAAGCAGGAGGACAGTGAGTTCAAGGCTAGCCTGGGCTACATAGTGAGACTCTGTCTCAAACTCTTAAAAAATTTTAAAAATAAGTCCAGGACATACAGAGAGCCATATGATTTAAAGTTCCTGGTAAGAACAGCTTTAATGAATAAGTAACAATGACTTAGCAGTATCACATCAACTGTTGGAAAATAGTGAATTTAATAAAAATACCTAAAGGAAACCGGGTGTGGTGGCACATACCTGCATCCCCTGCACTTTCCAGGCCAAGGCAGATAGATTCTAGAGTTTGAGGTCAGCCTGGGCTACACTGTGAGACCCTGTCTCAAAACAAAACAAACAAAAGTACCTAAAGGCTCCCAGTTATGCAGATCTTTTCAAATCACTTTAACTATCTCCCCTGCATTCTGGCTTATACTACACATTTTTCTAGGAAAATCTCAAAAAGGAAAGACACAGTAGCACAATAAAAAATAAGTGCCCAATTCTAGACCAAATCAGTATTAATGAGTTTCCTCATTGAAGCCTCTTAATGATGTGACCTTTATAAGAGAGTAAGATAATGTGGTGAGGGGCAATATTTATTTATGTCTCAAAATTAGAATTTCTCATTCATCTCTTGATTGATACATTAATCCCCGACTTTCAAAAATTTAGGCTAATTCCATCTTCTACACTTTTTTTGAAAATTGATAGTCCTCATGCAATGTAAGTAAATTAAAAGCAGAAATTTTCATAAAAAAAAAAAAAAAACCTGAAAGCACTTGCTAATATGGAAGATCCTAAATGTCGTCGGCACTGTCTTCCTACCCATTCTGAAGTTGAAGAAGGCAAAGAGAGCTAGCCACAACGGTTCAGCAAAGAGCATACAGAAGACGAAATTAAAAAAAAAACAAAACAAGACAAAAACAAGTAGAAAAAAGACCAGCAGCACCAGCAAAAGTGCTTATAAAGCAAGGTGGAGGAAAGGGGATACACCCAAATTATATATGGGAAAGGCGTGGAGAGAATCACCAAGCAATTTAGAACGTTGAATAAACAGAATTCTAAAGACTCTGCAAAACAACATGGGAAGGGAGACAGAAATAAAGACAAGGCAGCAGCTGCGGAGCGGGCGGCGGGGGAAATCGCTTCTCTTTACCCCTCCACGATTCCCTCCCTCTCTTCTGCACTAGTAGCAAGGCTTTTGAAGGCAGGAACTGCTCCTTCCCTAAGGCATCCCAACCCCTAGTGGCAGCGTCTTGCACACCAAAACTCAACCTGGGCAGGAAGCCCTTCCCTTGCTGCGGGGCTGACTCCACTTCAGATCGCAGTGGACTCGTCCGACTCCGCAAGCAAACCACGCTCCACCCCCCGCCGCGAGGCGCGGAGTAAACACCGCTAGCGATCAATCTTCCGTGGACTCGTGCATCTGCGTCTCCTCCCCGCGCCGCCACCGCTCCGTGTGGGTCGGGACCCCGGCATTCCTCCTCCGTGTACTCCCCCCACTCGGGGCGCACGACTCCCCTGCTAGCCTGGCTCGCGAGCTCGCGAGGAAAGGGGTGGCAGCTCTCCCATCTTTGTGCCCCCCACTATCACAAGCTTCCGGTAACTGCAGCAGGAGCGGGATGCACCAGGCTCAGGGAGACCGTGGCCGAAGAGGCAATGTGGGGTGTGTGTGGGGGGGGTTGGTCGTGCGTGTGTGTGTGCCGGGACGTGTGAGCAAAGGGCGGGGAAGCCCGTTCGGACGGGCCCTACCTTGGGGTAGGTGTGCAAGGGGTAGGTCAACTGACAGGCCCGGTGGCAGGACGCAGTATCACCCAAGACCGAGTCAAACGCTTCGGCAGAAGCGGTCCCCGAGCCTCCGGCCAGGGCCATGGTCAGCAGCAGCAGCGGTGAGAGCCCCAGTTGGGCCCGGACCCAGAGGTTCCCTTTCGGCGCCGCCATCTTGTTCCCTTCTGTCACAGCGGCTCAGCTTGTTGCTGTTTTCTTTTCAGGGTTTCTCCTCCTTCCGGGCCAGCCCCTTGGCCCGCCCAGCCGGCCGCCGCTTCCGCCTCCGCCGTCGCTTCGGTTCCGCCCCGCCCCGCCCCGCCCCGCCCACACTGCCGTCTCCCGCCCCGCCTCCGGGACTAGGCGTCTCTGCTGGGCGGGCGTGAGGATGTGGGCCCAACCATCGTGAGTGTCGGCGTCGAGCGGAGCCTTCCTCCTTTCCCTCGCGGGGCAGCTTGGGGCTTGTGGTTCTCCGCGGCGGCTGGGTCGCGGGCCGGAAGTCGCACGCCGCTCGCGGTGCATTCTGGGAACTGTGGTTCGCTGGTCCATTGGCGCTCTGACCCGCGGAGTAGGCACCCGAGCTGCTTTTCCTGGTGGGTCCCACGTCAGGCTGTGGCTGATGGTCCCTTCCCGGGCCTCTGAGTCCGGGTCGGGGGATCGGGGGCGGGGGGTGGGTGATGAGGGGCAGAAGAGGATGATAGGGTTCAGAGCCTGAAGGTCATAGTTAGGGTTGTTTGATCACTCAGCAGTTGTTCCTGGAAGTGGCTACTGCACGGTGAGGTCCCTACCTAAGTCTGCGGGTCCTAGGGCAACCTTGGGTTTGCGCTATGGGCAGAGTTCCTGCAAAGAGCTTCCTTGAGCCCGGTGGAGCTCTAGTCCTGCCACAGCCCAACCTAAGGTGGGAATAGGGTTTCGAAGTCACCAGGTCCCCTCCACAGCGTGCACTTCTGGAAGCTAGGAAACTCCTAACCCAGAGAGTAGAATGATCGTTCACAGTTTTAGTTTTAGGAAGAGCTCCCCGCCTTCCAGGAAGAAATCTTACGTCCGGTAAGTAATACCCAAGAATCCCCATAATTCAGGAATGTTTCCCAAAAACCCAGCCATGTCTCTTTAGGGCACATTGAACGGCTGTCTTGTGAAGTCTTAGAATCTGCCCTCTTTTCTTGAGCAGGATACCCTGCAAGCACGTGAAGGACTTGGAGCCCTCCAACAATGGATAAATTTGTCATTCGAACGCCTAGACTCCAGAATAGCCCACAGAAGAAAAGTCCCGGGGGAAAGATTTACAAGCAGGCCACAATTGAATCTCTGAAGGTGAGAGGGGCTCTGGGGCTAGAGAAAATGTGCCGAGGATTGTGATACCAAGACAGTGCCAATGATTCTAGTTATGGGAGAATGTGAATTATTTCCTGCTCTGCTTCTCCCTGCAAAGTGTTACCTGACCATTCATTCACTCATTCATTCTGTTTTCTTTTTACAGTCCTGTCATTCATTATTTATTTATTTATTTATTTAGGCAGTATTGGAGTTTGAACTCAGGGCCTGTGCTTGCTAGGCAGGTGCTCTATCACTGGAGCCACGCCGTGCCCTTTTTGCTTTTAGGTCTTGCTGTTTTTGCCCAGGTGAGCCCGGACTGCAATCCTCCTATTTAAGTTTCCCTCATAGCTGGGATGACAGTCACATGCCACCACACCCATTTTATTGGGGTCTCTTGAACGTTTTGCCCAGGCTGGCCTACAATCAAGATCCTCCAAATCTCTACCTCCCAAGTAGCTAGGATTGCAGGTGTGAACTATTGCATCCAGCTTGTTTAAAGTCTGGACTCTGCATATGAGAGAAAACATGCAATGTTTGTCTTTCTTAGTCTGGCTTATTTCACTCAACATGATCTTCAGTTCCATCCATTTTTCCTGAAAATGACATGATTTCATTCTTCTTTATGGATGAATAATACTCAGTTCTCTACATATACACTGCATTTTCTTTATTCATTCATCAGTTAATGGACACCTAGGCTAATTCTACGATTTGGTTATTGTGACTAGCACTGTTCTAATCATGAATGTTCAGGGGGTGGGGGCAGGGGGGAGAAATGACCCAAGCGTTGCATGCACATATGAATAATAAAACAATAAAAAAAAAATAGAACTGAGAGGGTATACCATAAACTGGAAGCCATCTACAACCTAAGGGGCAGAGCTCTCATCACCAGAAACCATTCCTGCTGAAACTTTGATCTTGGACTTCCCAGCCTCCAGTACTGTGGGAAAGTAAATGTCATTTAAGTCACATTAAAAAAAAAAAGTACAAATATCTCTATTGCATACTGACTTAGATTCCTTCAGATAATGTCCAGGAGTGTTGTAGCAGGATCATGTGGTAGTTCTCTTTTTAGTTTTTTGAGAAACCTCCATATTAATTCCTATAATGATCTGTTTATGTCTTGATTATTTATCTAATTTCCAAGTTATTGTATATAGTGCCCCCCTCCACACACAGCAAACCAGCATTTGTGTTCCTTGTTTCGTTGGTGTTGCCCTTCTTACTGTGTTATGTGGAATCACAGTGTCTTGATTTGCATTTCTGTATGGTTATAGAATGGTCAAACATTCCTCACACAATATTATGGCCATTTGTACTTCTTAAGAACTGTCTGCCAATCATTTGCCCTATATCAATGAATTGTTTTTTCTTTTGGTGTTTAATCTTTGAGCTCTTATCCATTCTGGATAGTAATGCTTTAGCAATGAGTAGATTGGCCAAGATCTTTCTTCCATTTTACAGTTGTCTTGATTCCTGGGATTGTTTTCCTTGGCTATGCAGAAGCTTTTTAGTTAATGCAAACATTTGTCAATTCTTGCTCCTTATTCCTGAGGCAATGGAGTCAATACAGAAAGATGTTTGCCCTATGCTTGTTATCTCCAAGGGTTCCGTGGGTTTTCTCTAGTGGTTTCACGAGTTTGAGAGTCTTACATTTAGATCTTTGATCCACTTGGTATTAATTTTTATTACAGGTGGAGCAAGAGGTCTAGTTTCGTTTCTACCTGTGAATATCCCATTTTTCCCCATCTGTTGATGAGGCTCTCTTTTCTCAACATATGTTTTTTGGCACCTTTGTGCGAAAATAGATGGCTGTACTTGGAAGGTTTATTTCTGGATCTTGTCGGTCCATTGACTTTCATGTCTGTTAAATGCACTAGTACGCATGCTGTTTTTGCTTACTATCGGATCTAGTAGTATAATTTGAAGTCAAGTATTGTGATAGCTTCCGACATTCATAATTTTTGTTCAGGATTGCTTGCCATTGGGTCTTTTGTGCTTCCATATGAATGTTGGAATGACTTTCTATTTCTGTGATAAATATGACAATTGATTATTTGGAATGGAGATTGCAATTTAAATCTGTAGATTCTTTCAGTATATGGTCATTTTCCACAATACTAATTCTGCTGATACCCGGAACATGGAGGTCTTTCATACTTCAGTGTGTCTTGTATTTTCATAGTAGAGGCTCTTTCACGCTCCGTTAGTTTTAAGGTTTGTTCCTAGGTATCTTTTTTTAAAAAGGCTATTGTAAGGGTTGTTTTCCAGATTTCGTTGTCATCGTTGTTCATTGTTGCATATAGAGACACTATTGTTATTCTGTGATTGATTCCTGTATCCTGCCTTTGCTGAAGAGTATTTATCTGGATCTAGGGAGTTTATTTGGGTTTTTAAGTGTCAGGATGCACATGAGGAATAATTGTGACTTCTTTCATATTTTGTATTCCTTTTATTTCTCTTTACCTTTATTTGCTCTGGCAATAAATTAAAGCCCTACAATAGTAAAGAGTGGGGAGAGTGGAGGCTTGCCTCATTCCTGACATTAGAAAGAAATGGTTTCAGTTTTTCCCTATTTAATAGAGTTTAGCTGTAGTTTGTCATATATAAACCTTTATTATTGAAAGTAACATTCTTTTTTATTACCTAGTTTCTTCAAGCTTTTATCATGAGAGATATTTATTTGTCCCAAGGCTTTCTGTATCTATTGGAGGTGATCTTGTATTTTTCTGTTCTTGATTCTGGTTTATGTGCTGCATTTTACTGCTTTGCAAATGTTGAACGCATCCTTGCACTCTTGGAATGAAATAAACTTGATTATAGTGTTCGACGTAGTTTTTTTAATGTGTTGCTGATTTTGGCTGGTAAAGTATTGTTATTGAGATTTGCATCTATGTCATGTAAGGAAGATTGGTCACAATTTTCTTGTTTCTCTTTTTTGCGGTGCTGGTGTTTGAATTCAGGTCTACGCCTGAGATCACTCCACCAGCCCTTTTGTGATGAGCATTTTTGAGATAGGGTCTCATAAACTATTTCCGTGAAGCTGGCTTCGAACTACGATCCTACCTGATTTGCCTCCTAGTAGCTAGGATTATCAGCTGTGAACCAGCTGGTGCTGGCAATTTCTTTTTTGCTTGTGCCTTATCTAGTTTTGGTATCAAGAACTAATACCTGATCATAGAATGGAATTTGGTAGCATTCATTCTCGTTTCTAGTTTTTGGAATATACTGTAAGGAGCATCGGTTAGGTTTTCTTTGAAGAGCTGGGCAGACATTCAGTGGAGTGACTCTATCTAGCCCTAGGCTTTTCTTGTGGAGACATTCTAGTACTGCTCAGTTCATTGCTTGTTATAGATGTTTAAGGTGGTTGAATATTCTCTGGTCAGTTTGGTAGTCATATGCACCTTGGCAATTTATTCATTTCTGTCTAGAGTTTCCAGTTATGAATATAGAGTTTTCAAAGTATTTCCGCTACTGATCCTCTGCTTTCATTGGTCATTGTTGTGAATTCCCCTTTCTAACCTCTTAATTTATTAATTTGAGTCTTCTGTATCTTTGTTAGTTTGAGCTAATGGTTTATCATCTTGTTTATCCTGTTTATCTTTAAAGAAACCCGAATTTTTTTTTTTTTTTGCAGTGTGAGATCAATTCGCAGGGCCCTGCATATGGCTCGGCATAGCACTTTACCAATGGTGACCTCTCAGAAGACATTTTTTGTCTCATGATTTCTTTGTATTCATCTTTTTAGTTTCTATTTCATTAATTCTTGTCGTGATGTTATTTATTTCTTCCTTCTTCAGGGTTTGGTATTGGCTTGTTCTTAGTTTTGTAAGAGCTTGAGGTGCATCCTTTAGGTTGTTTATTGAGCTCTGCGCTTATTTTTGATGTAAGCACTGTAACTATAAACTCTCCTCTAGACTCGCCTTTGCTGTGTAACGCAAAGGGTTCTGGTAAATTTGTGTTCCATTCAGTTGATTCTAGCATTTTTTAATTTACTGGCCGTTATTTCTCATGCACTCTCTTGTTGTTCAAGAAGTAAATGTATTCCAGTCTCTATCCGACTTAAATACTTTCTGAGTTTGTCTTGTTATTGATTTAGTTTTATTTCCTT